TCAGGGTCCTGGGATCGAGCCCCACGTCGGGCTCTCTGCTCAGCAGGGAGCCTGCTTCTTCCTCTCTCTCTGCCTGCCTCTCTGCCTACTTGTGATCTCTGTCAAATGAATAAATAAAATCTTAAAAAAAAAAAAAAAAAAGCATCTTCAGGGCACCTGGGTGGCTCAGAGGGTTGGGTCTCTGCCTTCAGCTCAGGTCATGGTCTCAGCATCCTGGGATCGAGCCCCACATCAGGTTCTCTGCTCAGTGGGGAGCCTGATTCCCCCTCTCCCTCTGCCTGCCTCTCTGCCTACTTGTGATCTCTCTCTGTGTCAAATATATAAATAAAATCTTTAAAAAACAAAAAAAAATGCCCTATAAATCTACATTGTCAGGACCAAGTTGAAACAGAATTATTTTTTAAAAAAAGTATCTTCGTGTACACTTTCTAGGAACTTTCCCTTTGAGAGACACTGTTGAATACAAGGCATTTCTCAGACTCACCTTATTTCCATCATAATAATTTCCTTCTCCTCTTCCTTTTTTTGATGCTCAAATTGTCACAACTCAGCCAGGGAGAATTTTCCTCCATCAGCTTCTTTGCTTGTGTAGCAGGGCTCCTGATCCTTTGGGGTTCATTCTTTTCATCCTCATTTTTGTCCTGTTTCAACATAGAGTATTGGCTTGTCTCCACGGAGCCGTGGTTTATTTTAGAGGTGAACTATATTGAGAACTACTTGGGCATGGGATTTGGTCATGGCTAAAGCTCTGTGCCTACTATTAAGCCAGTTCTAGTCATGACAGAACTGGGGGCAATATGGGTCTTCTTGAGATTGTGAAGTCACACTGACATTTTCAAATTTAATTACACCACTTTACAATACGGGTTCTGTTGGCCACTAAGACTTTCTATGCTCTTGGCCTTCTAACACTAGTCATTTTTATACCACAGCTTTTCATCGCCTGCTTTAAACCCTCCTGATGATAAAAGTGGTATTTCAAATATCTTTGCGAAGTTTTGATTGACATACCTGGTAACATCTTATATTCCATCTTAATAAAGTAGCTATTTTTTATTAAAGCCCTAACTGCAGACTCCGGAGTGAGGCTGCGCAAGTTCAAATCTCAGCTCTACCACTTACTGGTTATGGGATCTCGAGCGAGTTACTTAACTGCTCTGGGCCTCAGTTTGTTCATCTGTTAAAGGGAGTCTTCTCTGAAATGGTGTCTTCTTTGTAGAGTTGTTAGGAGGATTAAATTAGTTGATATTAAGTGATTCGAAAAGTATATGGCTCATTGTGAATGCCGTATGTGTTTACTGTTTTTCCAATTGTCTGGGCCCCAGGGTCTCCTTTCATTGTCACGGATACATATTTCTTCCTCCTCCTTCTCCCCCTCCCCTCCGCTTTCCTTTTTAAAATAGAAAATGTGGATACTTTTGGTCTCTGAATCCATCATTGGTACTTCCTGAGGCTTACTCATCAAATTTTGAGCCCCCCAGTCCCGCCAGATCCCCAGAAGTTTGCTCTAGCCTGGCCCCATCAGACTGCATTTTCATCAACCAGCTCAAAATCTTCCTATACA